TCATTGATCTTCTGCACGACCTCACAAGGTCCAATCTTCCGATCCTTAAGCTTATTATACTCACCAACAGGAAAACGATCACGAGTTAATACAGCCCAAACAAAATCACCAACATCAAAAAGTACCTGACGACGATGATTGTCGACCCGAGTCTTGTACTTGGTATTGCTCTCATGAATGGTCTGTTTCACCTGCTCATGGATACCCCGAAGATACTTTGCCATCTCATCTGCTTTAGGACTGAAACGTCCTATACGTGGAATAGGGGCTAAGTCCAACACCCCGGATGGGTTCTGACCATAGACAATCTCAAATGGGCTTAAACCTGTGGTTCTGTTTTTTTGATCTGTTGTAGGCAAATTCTGCCTGAGGCAATGCCAAATCCCACTGCTTCGGCTTCGTTCCTGCCAAACACCTTAAAAGGTTTCCCAAACTTCGGTTCACCACCTCAATTTGGCCATCCGTCTGGGGGTGGTAGGCGCTACTGAAATTCAACTGTGTTCCCAGTTTCCCCCACAGGCTCTTCCAGAAATGACTGATGAACTTAGTATCACGATCTGAAGTGATGGATCGAGGAACACCATGTAAACGCACAATCTCCTTGAAATAGAGATGGGCAATCCGGTCAGCATCCATAGTCTTTCTGCAAGCTACAAAATGAGCCATCTTGGAAAACCTGTCAACCACAACAAAGATAGAATCAGAGGCCCTTTGGGTGCGGGGTAAGCCTAGTACAAAATCCATGCTGACATCGAACCAAGGAGCTTCAGGAACAGGTAAGGGAGTGTACAATCCCGCATTGGTGAGAACTCCCTTAGACCGCTGGCACACATAACAACGGTCCACATAATGGGTCACATCACTAGTCAACTTGGGCCAATAAAATTCAGAAGAGATAAGGGCCAATGTCTTATCTCGGCCAAAGTGTCCCTCATTATGGAGTTCACTTATAATTTGCTGCCTCAATGAACAATCTGGAATGCACAATTGTAATCCATGAAACAGATACCCATTATGCAAAACAAAATCATGACGGTGACCCTCAGTTACCTCCTGAAATATCCTTCCAAAGGAAGGATCAGCTGCATACATATCTGTGAACGTCTCAAATCCTGCAACTTTAGAACTCATGGTGGTGAGAAGTAAGGTACGACGGCTCAGGGCATCTGCGACGCGGTTCAAACTCCCTGCTTGGTGCCTCAGCGTAAAAGTGAATTCTTGCAAGTATGCTACCCACTTGGCATGACGTCTACTCAGCTTGTGTTGGCCATTGATGTACTTCAAGGCCTCATGATCGGTAAACAGAATAAACTCCTTCTGTACTAAGTAGTGACGCCAATGCTTCAGGGACTGAACTATGGCATAGAACTCCAGATCATAAGTGGAATAATTTTTCTTTGATCCCGATAGCTTCTCACTGAAAAAAGCAACCGGACGACCTGCCTGACTCAGAACACCACCAATGCCAACGCCAGATGCATCACAATTTACCTCGAACACTTTGTCAAAATCTGGAAGTGCCAAAACTGGAGCCTCGGTCATCTTCTGCTTAACCAGTTGAAAACTGGCCTCTGCCTCCTCAGACCACTGGAAATCACGCCCCTTGAGGCACTCTGTGATAGGGGCGATCAGAGTACTGAAATTTCTAATGAATCGACGGTAAAAAGACGCCAAGCCATGGAAACTTCGGATGTCATGTAAGGTTCTTGGTCTGGGCCACTCCAAGACTGCATTTATTTTTGACTGATCTGCATGAACACCATCAGTAGACACAACAAAACCAAGAAAAGTCACAGAAGTAGTGAAGAAAGAACACTTCTTTTGATTGACAAACAAGCACTCCGTTTTCAGCATCTCAAAAACAGCACGGAGGTGATCGAAGTGTGAAGTCCATGTCGGACTATAAACGAGGATATCATCGAAGTAAACTACAACAAATTTCCCCATAAAAGGCCGCAAGACCTGATGCATAAATCTCATGAATGTACTGGGCGCATTGGATAACCCAAAAGGCATGACCATCCACTCATACAACCCTTGTGGCGTTTTAAACGCCGTCTTCCACTCATCTCCAGGCCTTATTCTGATTTGGTGGTAACCGCTCTTAAGGTCAATTTTGAGAAGATCTTAGAACCAGATAGCTGATCCAACATATCATCTAGACGGGGAATTGGAAACCGGTACTTCACTGTAATTCTGTTGATCGCTCGGCTGTCAACACACATACGCCAAGAACCATCTTTCTTTGGCACTAACAGAGCAGGGACTGCACATGGGCTCATACTCTCTCGGATATAGCCCCTCTCCAACAACTCTTCCACCTGTCGCTGCAACTCTTCGGCCTCCTTGGGACTGAGGCGATATGCTGGTCGATTTGGCAAACTTGACCCAGGAACAAGGTCAATTTGATGCTGAATATCCCTCATAGGTGGTAGTCCAGGAGGAAGATCCTCTGGCATCAAGTTAGAGAATTCTGCTAGCAACCGCTGCACCTCTACTGGTAAATCTGTATCCACGTCTACTGCATTGTTCTCGCAAGGTAGCAAGGCATAGACCACGTCGCCATGCTCAATCTCATCTAAAAACCTGGACATAGAAAGCAGATTAGTATTATGGGTTACTGGGGTAGGAGTAAGTCCTTCCCGCCGGGGTGCCAACACAATCTTTTTTCCCTTGTTGCTAAGGGAATATGTATTCTTCCGTCCATCATGAATGACACTGCGATCATACTGCCAAGGTCGACCCAACAATATATGACACGCATCCATAGACACAACATCACACCAGGCATTATCAAAATATTTTCTACCAATTGAAAAAGACACCAGGCATCGCCTATCAACTGTTACCTCACTGTCTTTATTTAGCCATGACAACTTGTATGGCTTAGGATGACTGTCCGTCTTCAACTGCAATTTCTGGACAACCTCCTCGGACACTACATTCTCACAACTGCCGCTGTCAATGATCATTTTGCAGACTTTATCTGCAACTGTGCAAGTCGTGTGGAAAATATTGGTTCTCAACCAATCGTCCCCTGAATCGCCCTTGGGGGTAAGTAGACTCTTGCGAACGACCAGAGTCTCATGACCATCTCCATACAGCACATCATCAGTCTCATCATCGTCATACACGGGTTCGCCAATCTCCTCAGTCTCGTCTTCCACGTTTTCCTCAATCAACAAATTTTTGCCCTTTTGACTAGCAGGCTTCCTGCAATCAGTCGCCCTATGCCCTTGTTCACCACAACAAAAACATCTAATAGTAGGGTTAGAATTACCCTGTGGTGGCTGCTGAGCAGGACGGGACTCTTGAGGGCGAACTGGTCGACTGTTGTGATCGCTCCTGATCACTGGTCTCCTGTTTTGCTGTTTTTCAACAGCAAGTGCACGCTGGTATGCTTCCGAAACACTCCACAATGAATGAAGGCTGAGGACATCTTGCAAGGGCTGGCGTAAACCCCCCAAATATCGCGCCACCATCTGCTCCTCCGTCTCAGATAAATCGTTCCGGGCGACCAATTGGTAAAACTCCTCCGTGTAATCATCGACTGATCGCGCGCCCTGCCTCAACGCATGAAGTCGCTGAAATAAGGTTTGCGTGTAGCCGAAGGGAAGGAAGTGGCCCTTCATCTTCTTTTTCATCTTCTCCCAATCAGTGATCTTGGCTTTGCCCTGTCTTTCTCGTGATCGTCGTAACTGTTCCCACCACGCAGATGCTCTGCCCTTGAGTTTGATGGCGATCAGTTTCACTTTCACACGATCGGGGACTTCCTTATATTCAAAAATACGCTCCACTTCATTAATCCAATCCACGAATCCCTCGGCCTGTAATGTACCAGAAAACTCAGGGAGATCGACCCGAAAACCGAGGTCTCCATGACGCTCCTCCCGACCACGGTGCTCCCGGAATCCTGCGCCCCGGAATCCTGCGCAATTGTGATATGGGTTTTCGAAAGTGGAATTGGTATCGTGATCAGAGGCCTCACGATCCTCTAAATCCTGCGCCGCCAGGCGCTGGGTTAATTCTGCGACTTGCCTCTACAAATCCGCGATCATCACATCCTGAACGCTGCGATCACGGCGTTGGGCTTCCTCATTCGGAACCTGCTCACGACGACCACGACCACGACCTCCAGCCATTGAAACTGGTGAAATTTCCCAAGAAGATGTTGAAGCTCTGACACCAACTGACGCCAGACAGAATAGTGATTATCCTGTAGGCTAGCTCCGACAGACGATTCACAAGAGAAAATTCGCCCAAAAACCAGAGAAAAAAGTCTCTAGGGTTTAATAAAATATTATAAAATCAATAACTATCTCCAAAGCAGTCCACAAGCCGGACTGTTATAGCAAAAAAAATCGTCTTTATTCGAATTTTGCCAAAAATAGCAAAAATCGTCTTTATTCGAATTTTGCCAAAAATAGCAAAATCCCGAAAATCACTCTAAATTGAAATTCGAAATAAAATAAGCAATCTCCCAAAAATCCGGCCTAAATCGGATTTAAATTGACTTCCTAATTAACAATCGAAATATTACCATAAATAGTAAAAAATAACTAAATCTAGTGATTCGGAGGGGAAAACGGCAGAATTTGAGGTTGAAAAAAAGACCACATGGAGCGTAGTGTGGAGAGCGTGCGCGTCGAAAAGAGCTTTCCGGATTGGGGTCTTATGCGCGATTCTGACACCTGTAGCCAAAGTTATGGCCAAAAGACTGAAACATACTCAAAACGACCCCAATAAGGAACATGTCACAATCAATTCCCGCCTTTGCGCTGATCTGCCAACTCATGGTATCTCAGCGCCGTCAACGTGCAATCTGACAGCTCAGCATCATCTGTCTCGGATCCCCCTGCATCAACAAGTTACAAGGTCATATCCCTCCTTACATAGGCTTGAGCCTTCCTAATCTTGAGTTCATTTATCTAGGGGGAAACAAGTTTTCAGGACCAATTCCGACCTCAATAGTCAATTCCTCAGGGCTCATAGACCTTGATATGGGTTCGAATTCTTTGTCAGGGCCAATACCAAAGAATTTGGGAAGCCTTCAAAATCTACAAATCTTGAACTCCGGCAGCAACTTGTTAGAGAGTTCCGATGATTTAAGTTTTATCACTTCATTGACTAACTGCACCGATCTTATTTGGCTTGGGTTAACCCAAATCAACCTCTCAGGTGTTTTGCCTGATTCAATTGGAAATGTCTCTGCAAGTCTCAATCACTTATGGATAGATTCCAATGATATATTGGGTACCATACCGAAAGAGATAGGAAACCTTGTAGGCTTGGAGTTCCTTGCATTATATGAAAACATGCTTACAGGCAGTATCCCTGATTCTATTGGAAAACTTTCCAAGTTGAAGTATTTCGGCGTTAACATTAATAGAATCACAGGGAAAATTCCTCATTCTTTGGGAAATATGACCCAACTACTTGCTCTTGGCATCAGCGAAAATTTCCTAGAAGGAAGCATTCCTACATCTTTGGGCAACTGCAGTTACTTGGAAGCATTGGATCTATCATTGAATCGTCTTAATGGCACAATACCAAAGGAAGTTATCGGTCTCTGTTCCTACTCAAGAGAACTCAACTTTGCTTCAAATAGTTTAACGGGAACTTTACCCCCAGAGGTTGGAAACTGCAAAAATCTCAATACGTTGAATGTATCAAGTAACAAACTTCACGGGGAACTTCCAAGCTCTCTTGAAAACTGTGTGATGCTAGAATCACTTTACCTGCAGGGCAACTCTTTTGAAGGAACTATTCCTTCTTCGTTCCGAAAATTAAGAAGCTTGCAAGTTCTTGATGTTTCCCACAATAATCTGTCTGGGTGAACTTCCTCTTTTCATCAATCTCAACCTGTCTTTTAATAGCTTTGAAGGCAAAGTGCCGACAAAAGGAGTGTTCAACAACATCAGTGCATTCTCAGTCCTTGGAAACAACGAGTTATGCGGAGGGATTAGGCTGCTTCGATTGCCTGCTTGTCCAACAAAAATTGCAAAGAAAGTGAAGAACTCTCCACTAAGAGTGATAATTGCTACTGGTATTGTCCTCTTTGTTGTTTTGTTCTTAATTTCTCTCTTTGCAATCAAACGCCGGGTTAACTTGTCGAAAAGGAAAGAGGGAATTGACACCCCATTGGAGAAGAAACATCCGAAACTTTCCTACACCGAGCTACTCCATGCAACCGACGGTTTCTCTTCAGCCAACTTAATTGGTAGAGGAAGATATGGTTCAGTCTATAAAGGAATTCTAAGTTCTGCTGATCAAACTGTTGCTGTGAAAGTACTTAATCTTCAACAGCGGGGTGCTGAACAGACTTTCAAGGCTGAATGTGAAGCCCTTAGGAAGCTCAGGCATCGAAATCTCATCAAGGTCATTACTTCTTGCTCCAGCATTGATTTTCAAGGTAACCATTTCAAAGCCTTGGTGCTCGAGCTCATGCTGAATGGGAGCTTAGAAACTTGGTTACATCCAAGTTCAACCGAGTTACACAATTCACCAAGCTTAAATCTAGTTCAGAGGCTCAACATAGCCATTGATGTTGCCTCAGCATTAGATTATCTTCATTCCCAATTTGACAAGCCGGTGGTGCACTGTGATCTAAAGCCAAGCAATGTTCTTCTTGACGCCGACCTTACAGCACACATTAGTGATTTCGGCTTAACAAGGTTTCTTTCGGAGACAACCGAACAATCCGTTAGCGAGCAAAGCAGTTTGATGGGAATAAGAGGAACCATGGGATATGTTCCTCCAGGTAATTCCGTTAGTAAACTTGATGATTTTTTTTTGTTTTTTGATAAAATAATACTCATCCTGGTGATCAATGTTTGGAATTGCAGAATATGGAATGGGAATGGAAATATGTACACATGGTGATGTGTACAGTTATGGCATCGTTTTAATGGAGCTGTTTACAGGTAAAAGTCCCACCGACAACATGTTTACTGGAGAGTTGAGCCTACGTGCATACGTTAAGACGGCCATGCCTTATCGTGTGGGAGAGATAGTTGATACTAGGCTCAATTTTGAAGATGAAGCAGCATTAAATCAAAATGACCAAAGCAGCAGAGGCGTCAGCAGCATCGTGAAATGCTTGGGTTCGGTGCTTAGCATAGGAGTGTCATGCTCGGCTGATTCCCCAAGTGAACGAATAAATATCAAAGATGTGCTGATAGAACTTAATAAGGCCAGAAATATTCTTCTTGGAGATCAAAGGAGAAGAGTGCACGCGTTAGTGCATCAAAGAAGAAGATAGAAATTTGCATAAAAAATACTATAAATATTATATGGGGATGCAATAATGCTAGGCATTCCCATATTTTGTATTTTCTCAAATTAGATTAAACGAAAGAGCAAAATAATGTTTTAGTAACTCTACTATGTTAAAATTTGAAATAAATTCTTCTAATTTGACAAAATATGATCATCTATTTCTATAATGTTGTTGTAGATCTAAATTGATAACATTGGCAGTTGCTTTAGTTAAAATGAAGATGTGGAAAAATAAATTGAAGAAAAATATAACTCAAAGCATTCAGTTCAACCAAAGGCGTTCTATGAATTGGCTAAGATGTTTCGCACTGGTATTGGCATAAGAACAGTCCATGTAAATAAATAATTGAGTTCTTTTTTTTTCTTCTGGCTACTGCATTATACAAATTAGTTGCTGAACGAGGACCCTGGAGTGCCCTGTCTAGATGGGCGCTCAAAACATACATAAAAGGTGATGTGGGCTAGGCATTCCTCTTGTTTTCTAGGATGGCTGAGCAAGGCTATGCCATAACTCAGAGTAATGCTGCATGGATCCTCGACAAGTATGGCAAGCACAGCATGTGCATGGGTGAAACTGGGCTTTGCTTATTGGGGATGCATTTTACTACGGGCGAGTAGGTATCTGCAGTTTCAACGGAGAAGGCATTGTCTAGATTTGCTCTTTCAGGGAACCATTAGGGTTTATGACCGTGCAGCCAAGGACTTCCTTTGGAACTCCATCTTGCCAAGCGTTACTACGATCAGGCACTAGAGATGGATCCATCGGCAAAGTTACCCGTTACAATAGCTCTCGTTAGTTTATGGTTACAAAAGAATTATGCAGGCAGTTTCCTGGTGAATCCTATTACTAGTGTATGTCTATGCCCCCTTGAACTATGGATAAGATAAAAGATTGTTCAATCTTTAACGTCGGGTGCTTTTTGTGTGTTTATTAGGTGCACTTAATAGATTCCCTGCCTGAAGTGTATCCAAGAGTGGAAGCACGGGTTGATAACGGAGGAAGGGAATGTTTCAGTATTCACTCTATTTGTATGTCTGCTAGTTGTTCTTTACCTTTGTGAGTGGCAATGTAGGAACGCCGCTGCCGCCACCTCCGCTGTTGAGCAACCCATCCCTATCGATCATGTTGTCCACTAATTAAAATAAAGATGAGGACAATGGTTAGCATTAATCCTTAGTATTTATTTATGGATTTAGGCTTGATCGAATAATACTAAAAGAAATCTATATTCATTACCTTAACCCCAAAAAGAACAAACGTTGTGACCAGTTAGTAGCAAAATCATTTTTTTGGAACAGTCTGGGATTAGTTCAAAATCTTTGCTCAACTATTAATAATGCACGTCCGCACATACAAACCTAACCACTTAAACCCAAGACTTCAAGAGAGAATAACTCTCCCTTCAACCACTTAGGCCACTAGATGAGATCTAACTTAAAAGGTGATGTGGGGAAGGCATTCCTCTTGTATTCTAGGATGGATGAGCAAGGCTATGAGATAGCTCATAGTAATGCTGCACGGATCAACGTGCTCATTCTTTGTGGTGGCAAGCTTCCGAACAGGGTAACTAACATGCTGCATTGCTTATAGGGAACGCATATCACTAAACTATGGTCGATTCAAGCCAGTATCTGCAGTCTCGATTGAGAAGGCTTCTTGTTTGTTCTTATTGTTAGTTGGCTGAAGTTTTCCCTAACTATATCTTTGCTCTTTCAGGGAACCATTAGGGATTATGAACATGCATCCGAAGTCTACATACACACAAAATCCCAATCCAACAATGCACAAGCCATGCTCAACCTCGGGTACATGCTCAACCATTAGGGATTAGGAACGCCAACTCTGCCGCCGCCGCTGTTGGGCCACCATATCCTAACAATTTTAGTCTTAGGAACTAACTTACGTAGCTTTTACCAATCTTAGGTGCCAAGTTGACACAAATAATTTAAGGGATCAATTTAATAAAAGTTACAAAGTCTGGGATCAATTTACGCATCAAGCCTTTCAGGATTGAGAACAAGATGACTTACCTTTATTTATTTTGTTTTTGATTAAAGATGAATTACCTTTAAAGTGGGTAGAATTGCCAATTTTCATTACCTGTTACTTAACGTTACCGTAAACCCAGTTCGTGAATCCGTAGTGTTTTCTCGGCTTTGTGTTGTAATTGTGGGATGGAACTGCAAGAGAGTCAACGATCGCCGCCAGCCATAACACACCTCCTTTGGTTTTTCGGCATAGCCACCGCCGTAAAGCTGCTACTAATCCCAGCCTACCACAGTACGGACCTGGAAGTCCACCGCCACTGGCTGGCCATTACGCACTCTCTTCCTCTCAGTCAATGGTACTACGACGAGACGAGTGAATGGAACCTCGATTACCCTCCCTTCTTTGCCTACTTCGAACGCTTCCTCTCCTTCTTTTCTCATATAATTGACCCACGGATCGTCCATCTCCATCACGGCCTCAATTACAAAGCCGATTCCGCCATCTATTTCCAGAGGATATCAGTGATCGTCTCAGATTTTTTTCTCCTATATGGGGTTCACATATTGACTCGAAATTTGGCTTCTCTAAAGCGGAATTTGGTATGGGTGTTTGTGATTTGGTCTCCGGGACTCCTTATTGTGGACCACCTCCATTTTCAGTACAATGAGTGTTTGGCTGGTTATTGTTGTCGATCTCGTTTCTAGCTCAAGGAAGGGATTTGATGGGTGGCTTTATGTTTGCTGTGTTGTTGTGCTTTAAGCATTTGTTTGCGGTGGCGGCCCCTGTTTATTTTGTTTACTTGCTGAGGCATTACTGTCGAGGTGGCCTGGTCCGGGGTTTTGCTCGGCTTTCTGTTTTGGGAGCTGTTGTTGTGGCCGTTTTCGCAGCAGCATATGGGCCATTTGTGTATCATGGACAGATAATTTATCTTCTCATTGTTTTAGAAGTGCTTATGGTTTAGCAAATTTTCTAGTTTCACTTATTAGTCATGCTGCAAGTGCTAATATCTAAAGCCATTAATTACCTTGTTGTGTATAGCTATGAAGCACGGGGACGGTAAAGGAGTCCCGTTTCAAGTACCCGATACGTTTCCGGCACGGGGATGGATGGGGTACGTACCGGAGACGTACCACGGTGGTAGGGTACGGCTGACCGAATTCGGGGACGGTCAAAGCTTATCTGGGGACGTTTCGAAGAGTATCACAGTGCTGCGAACGGCGACAGCATGGCGAGGAGTGAATGAACGACGACTAGGCTTTGTGAAAAGAAAGAAAGAAAGAAAAGGAAGAAGGAACGGGAATGTCTCAGGAAAGGCGGGTTAATATACGGCTAATATACAGCATTACCGGATACATTAAAATGTATTTAATAAATTCGGTTTAGCGGTACCTATTATGTTGACAACTAATAATGTTTTAGGTAGAAAAAATGAAAAACTATTAAAAAATTTGGTAACCGGTAAACTTTGGTTATCGGTAAGTATCTATCCTTTTTATAAAAGTGTCCATACGTTTAACATATC